TAGTGTTTTTGGATATTTAGTTTTAAATCTGTCACGACCCTTAAAAATGGTCACACCTGCTGCTCACTCCATCAGCCCTGATCAAGACTAAGTAGTTGAAATGCGTTGGCGTGACAATTAATAAATACTCCGCAAATCAGAGTGAATCAGCCATCCTTTTTTCTACTTATATAAAATATATTTCTTTTGTAATTCCAAATGATCTTAAACGGGCCAGTCAGAGTCAACCAAAGGACCGTATGTGGCCTGGGAGCTGTACAATGCCTAGGTCTGATCTAGAATGTTCCACAGTATGGCATTAAACCTTTCTATCTTCATGGAGACCAAACCAGACCAAGTTACAGGTCAGATCTGTGGAGAGGCAGTCAGAATGCCTGTTTCTCTCTGTATTTTAGAGCAGTGCTTCCCAAAACTTTTTATACTTTAAAAGTCACAAACCTTCGCGACCCAAGTCAATAGACATTATTCATGAATCACAAAATAAAGGTGGATTTGACCATTGCTGAACATTAATGAGGATATTTTTATCGTGTCTCTCTGAACAATTAGTGTTACTCAAGTTTTATACAATGAAAAACATTGAACCAGCAATAAAAGGATCCATAAATCGCCTATTTGGACATTAAACGTAGCTCTTTTTTTTTTCTTTTACACATTCAGTCGACTTAAATGCAGATTGTGACAAGGCAACCCAAAAAAACAAACATTACACCTATAATTAAATAAATGGGCCCAGTCAAGCAGAAGTAAACAGCAAGGCCAAAAATTCAAGTTAATGCATCTGATATAAAAATGTATTCAACAGATACATATGTACTCTAGTTTATGAAACTGTTTACGTTTTTTCTGTACCATTTTTGGTTCTAAAGTTACATACGTTTTAAACAGACCATGTATGAAACATGGAACAAAAATTATTTCCCAAATTTCAAAGACCTGCAAATCATGTAAATAAATGGATGTATTTCATCATATCTTGTGTTATTCCATCTTTGAACTGTTGATGAAGGTACATGGTACTTTTTTTTTTAAATGATAAAAATTTGCTTTGAAGGACTGACATATTTTATAGAAATAGTTTCCTTTCATTTTGAAGTAATATTAAAGTATTCGGAAGAAAAAAGCTGACAAATTATACAAAATCATGCACCTTCTACTTGCTTGTACAATTTTCCCTCCGTTACTTTTCCCTCCGTTACCATGACCTTTCTTATTAAAAAATCTCATGAATCAAAATGTAAGAGGTTTTTCAACCTAAATTTGTACCATATGGTAGAAAACTATATGAAGCAAATATTCAAACCAGTTTGTTAAGGATATGTAAGTGAGAACCACTAGTTATCACTGTTTGTATTTATTGCCCAAAAAGTGCTGCATATTTCATTCCCTCCGTTACCAACATGAGTTTTTAAATTTTTTTGTCAACAACTTGAAAGAATATCACAGGTTTAACTTTACCCTGTTGGAGTGTTAACTCTTTCCTACATTCTGATACTTTACTTATTTCAATAGTCCCTCTAGTTTCTGAATAAGAGACATTTGAATGTAAAAAAATCTGCCCCTGTTTGACCGGACCCAAATGTAAGGTAGAGCTGTTTAAAGTCATACTGTGGAACATTCCAGGCAAGCAGGTGACGGACCATCCACCAAAAAGTTACACAGTGCACCTTTTAAGACCTGCTTTAAACTGTACTGTCAGTGGTGCGCGCACACACACACACACACACACACACACACACACTTCATACAAACCCATGTGAGTTATTCAGCAGATCAATGGAGCAACATTAAAAACGCATTAAACCCAGTTGTTTTGAGTCTTGGGCGCGGCCTCTTCAAACGGGCCTCGTGTATCGATCCTCCTTCAGATTAGCTTCCTGTGTCAGTGCCATTACAAATAAGCAGCACACAGAAATAAACAGCGCTAATCGACGCTAATGGAGAAGTTAGAATCCTCGTGTTTGGTTTCCTGATGAGGTTAAGAGCAGGTTAAAAGGGATGGAGCGGTGTTGTGTAAAATGTGGGATGCTTTGCCGATATTGCGGTGGTGTTGTGGTGGAGCTGGTCGCGCCTCTGTTCTGGGCGTGTCGGTTCTGGGTTCTGGGCCGCTTTCCTCCAGACCAGACGACGTTTTGACCATGATTTTAAAGTGGGACTAAACCACACGCTGCATAAAGAAGTGGACGGAGGGAGTGGGACGTCACCTAGAACCTGCGAATTTTGAGATGTGCATAAGTGCATATTTGTATTTATTTATTTTTTTTACTTTTATTGCCACAATTCAATTCACATCAGCAGTGTCCTGAGACCGGGTCTTCACACAATTTATATATAAACTTTTTTCTTTTTCTTTTTTTTTTCCCCCTCTAGAAGAAGAAAAGAGAAAAAAAAAATGCAGAAACAAACTAAATTAAAAAACAAGCAAAACAAAACAAAAAAACATAAACAATAAGGCATATTAGGGCATACATGTCTTATTTGAAAAAATAAATAATTGGGCTCCATTTCTTTTCACTAAAACAGGTCTAAACCAGGACTAAAACCAGGTCTCAACTAGTTCTAAACCAGGACTAAAACCAGGTCTAAACTAGATCTAAACCAGATCTAAACCAGGTCTCAAACAGGTCTAAAACCAGGTCTAAACCAGGTCTAAACCAGGTCTAAACCAGGACTAAACTAGGACTAAAACAGGTTTAAACCAGGACTAAACCAGGACTAAACCCAGGACTAAAACCAGGTCTAAACTAGATCTAAACCAGATCTAAACCAGGACTAAAACCAGGTCTAAACTAGATCTAAACCAGATCTAAACCAGGACTAAAACCAGGCCTAAACCAGGATTTAACAGGATTAAACTATCAATAATATTTTTAATTTGGTTAAGAAAAGTCTGGGCTTTTTATTTTCTTTTATCAGACAAAACATCTGATGTTACAATATCCTGGTCTTTGCTTCTCTACAGCCAATCAAGTAATCCAAAGTATTCAGATTACGTTACTCACTTTAAGTAATTTAATGGATTATGTTACAAACTACTTTCTGGGGTATGTAATCTGTAATCTGTAGGGGAATACATTTTAAAAGTCACCTTCCCAACACTGTTTACGCAGGACAGTCCCAGTTTTGAGCCCTGTGTCCCCTGTCCCAGTAGATTTATACAAAACCATTGATTTGTCACAGTTTTATACAAGAAATGTCCCAGGTGTCCCTATTTTTGACCAATTTTATAAGTGCCAACAGTAAAGAGAGGCATATATTGTTATATGTTTAGGTAAAATACAGAAAAGCTGCTTAAAAACGACCAAAACACAGAAAATTTGACACGTTTGCTGTGAATGGGCCAAATGCATAACAGTTTTCTTTAATTGTGCACTTGTTTCATATGTGACTCTGAACAGAATTTCTTTAAGATCTGGAAATCTGTTTTTACTTTCTTTGATAAATCATTAACATCTGTCAGCGCTTGATGGCTTTATTTAATTTATATTCTGCTTTGCGTATTTTAATTCGCAGTGCCATTAATTTGTATTCTACACTGGTGAAGGCAGGAGTGGGTGCAGGGATTGGATTTAGTTTTTCTTTTTGGCTTTTTTTCTGTCTGGCATTTTTTCTGTATTATATTGTGAAATTATTAAACATAATTAACACGAGACAACACCCCAGTTTACTGTAAAGCATAAAATGTGTCGGCTACTGTGATTTATTCTCTCTGTTGTAGGATGTGGGCTGAGAGTTCTTCATTAAACCTACATAAAACCATTCTGTGGCCTTTGTCTCTTTTCTTACACAGCAACCAACAACTCGTGATATCATACAGGATCTTTAACTAATAACAGATTCTCACTATAACTCGGGTGTTAGTTTGTGTGCAGATACAGTAGCTCCTCCCTTCACACGGATATAAGACAGTGACTGACGAAACCTTTTGGATATGGGGCAAAATTTAATCTCTCTTAAAAACCCTATATTATGCTAAATTGACTCTTGTGAGCTTTATGTCATGTTAAAAAGCTGTTAACTCCTCACAACAGACCTGGAGTTGTGTTTTGTTTCATTCCCACATGTTTAATTAACACTTTATTATTAGTCTGTCTACATCTCCAAAGCTCAAAATGCTCTGTTCCACCTTGTGATGTCATGTAGTGATGCAGTAGTTTTCAAGTTAACAGCTTCTTTTACCTTTAGTTCTGCAGAGATTGGCAGTTCCAGGTCTGAAATCATCTAACTGATTCTAGTGAAATTAAAAACACAGTGGAGCACTTCCTGTATTACCACATGACATCACAAAGTGGAACAGAGTGTTTTCAGTTTGAGAGAAGAACTATGAGCCTAAATATGCAGGGTTTGTGCAACAAAACACAACCCCAGGTCTGTTTGTGATGACGAAACAACTTTATAACCGATCAGAAAATAACGTAATATGGACCCTTTAAAAACTTCATAATTCAGTTTTTTGCTTGCATGTTTTTCAAGATATTTTAAAAACACATGGCTACTGTGGAAAATACAGTTGTAGGGAGTATTATCTGTTTGTTAAGGGTGAGTTGTTGTACTGTTGTAGGGAGTATTATCTGTTAAGTAAGAGTGAGTTGTTGTGCAGTTGTAGGGAGTATTATTTGTCACATAAGGGCAAGTTGTTGTACAGTTGTAAGGAGTATTATCTGTTACATAAGAATGACTTGTTGTACAGTTGTAGGGAGTATTATATGTTACATAAGTGAGTTTTACAGTTGTAGGGAGTATTATATGTTACATAAGTGAGTTTTACAGTTGTAGGGAGTATTATCTGTTACATAAGAGTTAGTTGTACAGTTGTAGGGAGTATTATCTATATGGTATAATAATATAATATACGATAATAGGGTTTGACTATATTTTTTAATATTTTATTTCGCTTCCCTGGTCATAACTCCACAAAATATAATATTATGAAAGTCATAAAATCCAGTAGGGGGCAGTGATGTAAACTGTTTAGAAACTGAACAGACGAAGAAGTCGATCCCACTCCACGTGCTTCCGGTTCACTTCCTGTTTTCCCGCACGTTGTTTCTTCTCCTCCGTGAAAACATCGGCTTGTTCGTTTATTTTGAAGCGTTTCCAGCTGCATTTTAAAATAACAACATGCCAAAAGCCAAACAGTCGAAGAGGAGGAAGAAGTTCGATTACAACAAAAACAGGAAGAAGCTAAAAAAGAAGACTCTGAAGAAATACAACCCGAGGATCGAAAAGTGAGTGTTTCATTAGCCTCTTAGCAGCTCTGCAAAAATGTGCGTTTAAAAATATAAAAAAAAATGGAAAAATAGGACCGATCGAGTTGTACAATATTTTATTTATCATTACATTATTCTACAGTATTAATCTTTAGAAGTTAATTGATGCTTTAAAAGTTTGGAAGCAAATGAATGGACGGAGCTTTACGCAGTGTTAGAATTTGATTGATTTATTTTTTATGTATTTATTTTGCACATATAACATGACAATAAAAAGAAACAGACTACATAAAAAGTAGGTGCCGGAAGAGGCAAAAAACCCAGTAGGGCTTATATTAAAGCCTCCACCTTATGAATACATAAAATAATTTACATTATCACTGTGCATATATATATATATATATATATATATATATATATAAATTACATTAAAACACCATGGATTCAATTCTTTTGATTCAAACATGGATTAAAAACAATGAAACATTATCAAACATTTCCTCAAACTCTTTTTAAACAACACCTCTGATCTGCCATCACTAACCAGATGTGAAAACTGGCCCCAGAATTTACAGCTTCTGTATCGTAGGCAAAACTGAGCTCTTGATGTGACAAATTTTGGAACATGAAAATTATGAATTTGACGAGTAATTATAAATTCATCAGTATATGAAAATGTTTTGTCTTTCAAAATATTTATGTTGAAATCTCCTAAAATATAGCGAAGCTTGTTTTCAGAATTTAGTGACTCTAGAGTTTTACATAAACTTTCAATAAAATCTTTAATGCCAAAATCTGGTGGACGGTAAATAACTCCAACAATTACATTTTTCCCCTCACAACCAGAAAGTTCCACAAACAGTGACTCTATTTCCCCTTTATCAGAAGTAAGCCTTAGGTCGTTCCTTAGTTTGAATTCATAATTGTTCTGAATGAAGAGAGAAACTCCTCATTAAAACACATTTGGAGTTGTGTTTTGTTTCATTCACATGTGTTTGAGTAATCTTTTATTATTTCTAAACCGCAAGATGCTCCGTTTCACCTTGTGATGTCATGAAGTGGTAGTTTTCAAGTTCATATTTACATTTTGTTCAGCGGAAATGGGCGATTCCACAGCTAAAATTATCCAAATGATTCTAGTGAAGGTGTGTGGAGTTTAAAAACACATTGGAGCACTTCCTGTATTACCACATGACATCACAAAACTCAGCCTAAATATGCAGGTTTGTGTGTTAAACATGTGAATGAAACAAAACGCAACTCCAGGTCTGTTTTTGATAAAGAAACAACGTTATAACATCAATTAGAACAGCTCGCCACTTGCTTTTCTCCGTGGATATATTATTTTGCCTGGAATGTTCCACAATAAAGCATTAAGTAGTGAGGGACCACCAAGATGAAAAGTTCCACAGAGCCCCTTTTGGACACTTTTTGTGCTTTCTGTCTCTTACAGTGATCAGATTCGAAATGCATGGGACAGAAATAAGTCGATGGTGAGGAACCTTCGGGAGATGGGTTTGGCCTTTGATCCAAACAAAAGTCTGCCCATAAAGAATCCGAGGGTAAGAAAACAAACTATTGCAAATGTTTTTCTAAAATGTGCCCTGTTTGAGATGTTCAGGTGACGCAAGAATCATTTTACAAATGTTAAAATACAGAAACCTTCCCTCTGTTTGTTCATACTCATCCATTACAATATTTTATTTCTTTTTAATGTTCCTTCAGAAAAATGTGGCACTGACATTTACCCAGTGGATTTAAAGTTTAACATTTTGGCTACAATGATGAAAAATCATGATTTCATCCGTTTTGAATTTTTGAAAATCACTGTGTCACTAAAGCACTTTGACATGCAATTGCAGTTTTGTTCCAGAAGATGGCAGTGGTGTTTTTGTTAATCTTAGTGACTCCAGTCTTTTCAGATGCTGAAAATGTTTTTTACTAATATTTTTGCTCTACTGGGAATCTTTGATTCATCAGCTCTTCCCCGTTTTGTCTCCAGTTCCGTGTGAGCATGTACATAAAACATCAGATTTTTTCCTCATATAATTTAGTAATTAATATAGACACAATTAAATAGTGGAGGCCAGTCTGAAAGCCTGATACAGCACGAAAAATCGGGTGATCCTCAGCTTCTAAACCAGAGGTGTCAAATTCACAGAGGGCCGAACTTAAAAACTGGGACTACGTCGTGGGACAAACTAAATATTTATTGAAAAATTTCAACAACATCTGCATGTTTTCTCTTCTTTTGTATGTAATGTTAAACCTTTTCTTATTAAAATAAATGTTTAATAATAGTTTTGCTTAAACATTTAATCCAGAACAAGTATAATATAAAATAATAACAACATTTTAAATATGTAATGTCTCAATAGCCTATCTGTAGCCAGCTCTAATACATATTTGATATGATCTCGCGGGCTAAACATAATTAAATCACAAGCCAAATTTGACATTTTCTGAGTTTGACATGTCTGTTCTTAAACCACTTTGGACACATCCACGTCACCAGAGCTCCGTCCAAAGCCCTCACGTCAGCGCTCGACTCTTCTGTTTGGCTCATTTACCCAGCACGCCTCTGGATCCTTCACATTTCTGAACACTTTTCATTTGTAGAAGCATTGATGTTTATTGAGTTTTATCACGTTTGATCTGGTCACGTGACATGGTGCTGTCTTTCCCTTCAGAGTCTTTTCCACAAACGCTCCAGGCCCTGTGACCATTAGCTTCATGTTCACTCAGTCTGAACACGACGTTTGGCTGTGCTTCTGTTGGATCTGACTTTGGAGGAAGGATCCTGGGAACTGAGAAACATCCTTAATATTCTGGCACCTGTGTGTTCCTATAGACTTGATTCCACCCTGCCCCCGTGTGGCCAAACCAAATACAAACCAACTTGCGCTCGAACCGTGACCCAAATTAACCCCAACAACCCATAAAAAAGACACAAAAATGGCTTCTATACTTTTCTCTTTGGTTGAATAACTTTTTTTGCTTCCTTTATTTCCAGCTCATTGGTAAAGACCCTGTGACCAAGGCTCCAGTCGGCGTTGTCACTAAACCCTACGTCCTCAACCGTAAGTCACATGACCTCCACCTGCTACAACTTTGGAAATGTGATTAGATTAGATTTGAGATGTATCATGTAAAGTCAGATTTTTTATTTTTTTTAAGCAATATTTGAATATGAAATGACAAGAACGTGTTTGTAGAAGTCTGAAGTACAGGGTTTGAAGTGTGACAATAAGAGAGTTCCTTTTTTAAAATTTATATTACTTTAATTGTTTCAGTATTTGAGCCTCAAATTCTGATTCAGTTGTGATTAAAGGGCCCATATTACTCTATTTCCTGATCCGTCATAATGTTGTTTCCTCATCACAAACAGACCTGGAGTTTTGTTTTGTTCTAACATGGCTTCAGTTTCGTGTAATATAGGACCTGTGATCTTACAAACCCTACCTCCACTCTTTTTACGTTTATTAAAAGCAAATGTAGAAGATGGCTCTTTTGAAATACCCAAAGTTAATTATAGTCGATTGATGAGCTATTAGTGGATTTTTAAAGAAGCGCTGTAAGAATCTGCGTCACTAATGGATCAGACTGAGCAGAAGTGAAACCCAATATCATTTTCAGATCTGTTTAAACAGACAATGCAGCTGTCAAGAAAGAAAATAAATCATTCACGCGCTTTCAAAATGTCTCCTATCCTCATTACATAACTGTAATTAAAGTAAAAACAATTATTTGTGTCATACAGATTAAAGAAAAAGGGGATAAGCCATTTGCTGAAAAAACATTTTAAATTTTTTTGGTGCTTAGAGTTGTGTTTTGTTTCATTCACACATGTTTGAGCAAATGCTTGCGGGTAAAAACAACAAAATATTTGGTAACACTTTATAATAACTACACCTTATTTATCCTTAATAAAGCATGAACAAAGGCTTAATTAATAATGAACAAAGACTTAATTAATAATTATTCACGCTTAGTAACTACTTAATTACTACCTTAATTAGCAATTGCACTTAATTTGCCTGTGCTGTAAATAGTTACTCATAATTATTTCATACTTAATTACTCATGGACTAACCATTTGATCATTTATTAATGATTAGTAAACTATGAGAGAATGATTTACTAATAATGTAATGCAATGATAATTCAGGCAGCTGTTATCTGTTAGTAAAGTCTTTTTGAGAGCTTTTCTAAAGTGAAGACGAATTATCCTTTATTAAGCATTTACTAAGTGTGAATCATTATTAATAAAATCTTTGATCATTATTAATTAAGTCTTTGTTCATGCTTTATAAAGGCTAAATAATGTGTAGTTATTATAAAGTGTTACCAAATATTGTATAGGAAGTGCCTTTCGTTTAGACATTGATGGCGTTTTTGGGGCTTAAAAACGTAAAAAGTCTGAAACCACCCTCCAGAGTGGAAAAGTTGAATACACATCATCGTGGCCTTTCCATCTACACTGCCCAAGATGCAAAACTCTGATCAGATCTGATCACATCGTGTACATGTTTACGTCACATACAGACGTACAGAAACAAACATGTTGGATCATTTCCATGCGTCGGACCTTCAGACAGCTCTAATAAACTTACAGGAGGCATCCCAACAAATGTACAGAATATGCAGAGATACTGTTAGTGAACAAAGAAGGATCTGCAATCACGTCTGCGCGGACATAGCTGTGTTGTGTGATGGTGTATCAAAGCACCACTTAGACGCCTGGCATGCATACACAATCAAATTCCACATGGCCTAAAGTGTCAAAGTATGCACGCAGATTTCCTTCCAAAAACCAAAAAGTGAAGCCCTGACGTCACTTCTCCGTCTTCTGTTCAGACCATCATCATATAAACCATAGCCTTAGTTTGTCTACATCTCCAAACCTCGAAATGCTCTGTTCCACCTTGTGATGTCAATGAGCAGTGGTTTTCAAGTTAACATCTACCTTTTACTTTGCCTTTTTTTTTTTTTTAAGAGAGATTATCCAAAGAGATTATTTTTATGAGAAATTATCCAAATGATTCTAGTGAAGGTGTATGGAGTTTAAAAACACAGTGGAGCCCTTCTTGTATTACCACATGACATCAGGAACAGTGTTTTCTGTTTGAGAGAAAAACTGTGTGTTAAATAAACGTGTGAATGAAACAAAACACAACTCCAGGTTTGTTTGTGATGAGGAAACAACATTATAACACAGAAAATAGAGTAATTTGGAAGCTTTAACAGCCATTTTTTAATCATATTTGTAACTGAGGGCACGTGCTAGGTTTTAGATTGGAAGTGTAGTCAGTCATGTTTTATTATTCACACTGTATTTCGGGCTGTAAAAATTCTGCAATTGTTGTGTTGTAATATTTTTGTGTATTTTGCTGTTCAGAGTTGGTGGAGGAGGCCAGTGTTCCAGAAAAGGACTCCAAAACACTGTCTTCAGACCTGATTGAGTACGTTCAGTACATGATCCGAGAGCACAAGGACAACTACAAGGTAAAAGAGAAACCACAAGACATTCCACGTACAAGCACTAGGGGGCACTGTTTACCATTGTGTTTAATAGTCCAGTATTACACAAAACTGACTCTTGTGAATCTTTAAGCCCTGTTATGATGTTGTTACCTCCTCAAAAACTAAAAACAGACCTGAGTAACATACCATAAATGTTGTCCTGTCTTATCTACGCATGGGACAGAGAGAAACATAATTTTCAACCCAATCCACTTTATTTCTATAACACATTTCACACACAGTTTCCAAAGTGCTGCACAAATACATAATAATAACAACAATAATAAAATGAAAAAATAAACTACTAAGATAATACTAGTCTTAAAATAATAAAACCAGTAAAAGTAGAACCAGTAAAACCAGTAAAAAAGTAGAACAAAATCATAGAATAGAAATAAATAAACCAATAAATAAATTAAATCAATAAAACCATTAAAAACACATAAAAATAAATAAGAAGGAGGACCACAGAGGACCACACAACTCACGCGGTGTTTTGATTACTTTATATGTCTAGTTAGTACATGTGAAGAAATTGACAATAGAGCTAACTCTTAACTTTGAATTATTAGTCTGTCTATATCCCCAAAGCTCAAAATGCTCAGTTCCACCTTGTTATGTCATGAAGTGGTAGTTTTCTTCAAGTTAACAGCTTCTTTTTACCTTTAGGTCAGCAGAAATTGGCAATTCCAGGGCTGAAATTATCCAAATGATTCTAGTGAAAGTGTATGGAGTTTAAAAACACAGTGGATTTTAGCTTGAGAGAAGAACTCAGCCTAAATATTCAGGGTTTGTGCGTTAATTAAACATGTGTGAATGAAACAAAACACAACTCCAGGTCTGTTTGTGACAAGGAAACAACATTATAACATAGATGAGATTAAGAAAAGTGTAACACGAGCGCTTTGACTGTGAAAATAATACTCCTACTTTTTATAAGAACAATGGGCTCTGTGCACAATGGCATCACTACTTCCTGTCCAGTTCTATGTGTTCATTTTAGCATGACTAGACAGAGCGCATAAAGATCAGGCAGTGGATCGGGCGTTCCACTGGATGTCACTGACGCCGTGTTTAAAGGTGCATTGTGTAACTTTTCTGGTGGAGGGTCAGATCTGTGGAGAATCAGTCAGAATGCGTGTTTTTCTAGGTATTTTTAAGATTTAAAACCACCTGTAACGGAATAAATGTGAGGTAGAGCTGTTTAATGTCGCACTGTGGAACATTCTAGGCAGACCAATGACGTATCCACAGAAACAAGCAGGTGATGGACCCACAAACAAAAAGATAAAGTTAACGAGGGGGTATTAAAGGTTGTATGGAGGATTTTTTTTAGGGTCAAATTGTCAGTTAAAGTTTAAAACACCATTAGAGATGCAGCAGCCTTGTAATTATGATGACCAAAAAAAAAAAAAAAGAATGAAAATTTATCAACTGTGGATGTAGAGAGGCCAGATAAACATCAGCCAATAGACAATGAGGCTATCTCATTTTCTGTTGGCTGTTAGGTTGTCACTCAAACTTCCTACGTTTTTAGTGTAACTGACTCGCCGGCGTGCGGGGATTATGTGGTTTATGCAGCGGTTCTTAGAGGCTTTTTCAAACTCTATTTTCCTCGCAATTCGCACAAAGTTTGTTGCGATGGTGGACGAGAATCCACGACCAGTTCGCCGCAAAAGAAAGTCTGTTTTTGAGGTCGCTGAAAGAAGAAGAGAAGAAGGGGAAAAGGAGCGAAGACAAACTGAGGTGATTCTTGGAGATCTCGTCCAGCGAATGAAGCAGACGAAGGGTCTAAAAACTGACGCGTCGGTCACTAAATTATTTCTAGACAGGTCACTTCAACAGTAATTCTGAACACGCACTGGCTGTAAACAAGCGTGATTTATAGATTAAGGAGGAGGGAGGAGATGTTTCTACTGAGGGAGCTGTGGAGGAGGGAGGTAGTGTCACGCATGCACAACATTTGAAAAAGGACGCTGTATTTCTTTTCCCTTAAAATATCCTCTATACAACCATTTAAGCAATATAATTTAACTTTTGTTTAGTTTTCTACCATGTTATAATCAGATTGTGTTGGAAAAAAAGATCAGATTAAAGTGTAACAAAGCCTCAGACAGAGCAGTGCTTACAGTTAGCATCACACGCCCAGGGAATATTAATGCCCTCAGCTCAGTATCAATATTATATAATTCAATGTTGATAACAATGAATTTGTTTTTTTATTTTTCTGTTTTGTGTGTTCAAGGAGATGGCGAGAGACGAGAAGAACTACTACCAGGACACCCCCAAACAGATCAAGAGGAAGATAAACGAATACAAGCGCTGCCACCCGGACCATTTTAACACCTTCATGAGCTCCCTCACAGACGCTCAGCCCATGGAACAGTGACCCCTAGTGTACAGGAGGGCTATGGACACAAGAGACACTGCACTGCGAAAAAAAACAGACAAACGATATCTGTCAGTAAAAGAGTGAAAACGCTTCAGTTCAGAATCTTGTTTTTTTTTTGTGTGATTTTGACAAGTTTGTGTGTTGCTCAGTTTTGAAGGTGTTGTCCATCCACCTTATTCCAGAAGTTGATGTGGGCGCCGCCGTCATCATTTGAGTTGTATTATTTTGTGTGGGGCTGCTGGTCTTGACCGTAAATAAGTTCAGTACGGACGATAAAGCTGTTTTAAAGCCCCTCAGAGAATCTGTGCAGTGTGATTTGTCTGTGCACATGAAACATTTTTACATCAATAACCAACTTTGTATCATGTTTAAGATGCAAAACGTTTCCCAAATTCTCTGTTGACATGAATGTGATCCCTGTTTAATCAGAAGTGCTGCCACAAAAAAGTGCAGTTTACAGGGTCCCACAGTCAAGGAAATCCTGGAAAAGTCATGGAAATTGAAAATGTCATTTTCTGGGCCTGGAAAAGTCATGGAATTTTGTAAATTCAATGAAAGTTTTGGAAAAGTCATGGAGTTTTAGTATCTCTTTCACACAACTACAGCTGTTAAGTTATCAGGAGGCTGTTATGATTAAAATGTTTAAAAGAGACAACAATAAATGCACTGACAGTATTTTGAATGTTAAAAAACTATAAAACCAAACCATAAGGTGAGTGAAAAGGGTTAACATTTCATATTTAGCCCTAAAAGTATAAATTCTACTCATGTAGGTGCTGTAAATTCATGGAAAATTCACTTTTGGTCATGGAAAAATCATGGAAAAGTTTTGAAATTTTGTCAGTGAAAAAGAGTGGGAACCCTGGGTTTAGGAGCATTTAGATTAGACCTGGGCATTGTCCAGCTCCCGGGTCACATGTGGACCTTTGGTTGACTGACTGGCCTGTTTTAAGATAAAAATATGTTTATTTAGTAATTCCAAATTAAAATTTAACCTCATGCATGGACTAAAATTGCATTGGTTTTATTTTAGAAGTGTTTTTTTAAATGACTTTTTGTAAGGCAGCCTCACTTTTTCATTGCTTAGACATAACATAAACTCTAACCAGCTCGTCAAAACAATACTATTTAATGCTTTTTATAAAGAAATAGAACTAATATTATGCAGAATTAAGTTAAACATTCTGGCCCACCCCTGATTTAGAGACGAAAGTGGGAGGGAATAAGGTGGATACTAGAAAAATAAAAATAAAGAAACAAGCAGCACATCCACCACTGATATGACACAAAAGAACTTTGCAGTAAATCTGTATGAGACTAAACAACAAAATATGATCGAAAAATAGCTGGAACTTCACAACAAAAATTACAAACCGAGTAAACGAGACAAAAATGGCAGTGACGAGTTTCAAAAATGGAGATTTAATTTTGACAACAAAGCAAAAAAATTTCAAGCAACACAACTTCAAAGATTGATTTACATAGACAGTTCTGATGAAGTGTCCGCCGCCTGCTTGTCTCCATGGAGATGTCGTTGCTTCGCCTAGAATGTTCCACAGCATGGCATTAAACTTGTCATTATCACAAAAGAAGTCAGATCTGTGGAAAGATGAACCCACTCACAGCAGTATTGTGTTTGTGTGTGTTTTTTTTTAATCACCTGAAGTTAAATAAATACGCAATAGACAAGTTTAAAGCCACACTGTGCGACATTCTAGGTGAAGCGATGCCATCTCCACGGAGACGACCCTGCATCAAAAAGTTATACTGCAACCTTAGTGAATTTTAAGAAAAAATCTGACAGAACTGCGCATATAAAGGTTATTATTCTGAATTAAATAGGTTTTTTCCTCTCATTTTTGCACAGAGAGGAGCTTTTTGTTGAAATATTTTTGTTAAATCTTTCTGAAATGCTGTATTTTTTTTTTTTTTTATAAATACCAAGAAGTCTGGAGATATTTCTTAGTAACTCAGTTCTTGTTTTGAGCTGTAGACAGAAGAGGGGGATGAAAGAGGAGAGGAGAGGGAGGGTAAGGGTGAGAGGGTACAGAAAAGCGAAAGACGTGAGGGGCGGGAGGTGGGATAAACAGAGGAGAGATAAAGTAGAGAGAAGGAGAGCGAGAGGAGGAAAAGAGGGGGTTGAAAGAGGAGAGGAAGAAAGGATAAGGATGAGAGGATACAGAAAAGCAAAAGATGTGAGGGGCAAGGGATAGAAAGAAGAGATAAGACAGAGAGGAGGAGGAATAGATGGAAGTAGAAAGAGAAGAGGGAAAGAGATGGTGAGGAGGAGAGAGAGAACAGAAAAGAGAAAAACATGAGGAACAGAAAGAAAGAGGTAGAGAGGGTACAGAAAAGAGAAAGAGAGAAAAAAAGAGAAAAGAAGAGAGGAGAGGGAGGGTCCAGCAAAGCAAAAGACGTGAGGGATGGGGGAAGACAGGAGAGAGAAAAAGGGGAGAGAAGGAACAGAAAGAGAAGAGTGGAGAGGGGGATATGAGAGGGAGATGAGAGAGGGTACAGAAAAGCAAAAGATGAGAGTGGCAGGGGGTAGAAAGAGGAGAGATAAGGTAGAGAGGGAGAGGAGGAACAGATGGGGGTAGAAAGAGGAGAAGAAGGGAAAAGAGGAGAGGGAGAGATGACAGAGGGTACAGAAAAGAAAGACATGAGGAACAGGGCATGAAAGAAGGTAGAGGTAGGGGGAGAGGAGGAGAGAGAAAAGGGGAGAGGAGGAACAGATGGGGTTAGAAAGAAGCGGAAGGGTAGAGAGGAGAGGGAAAGAAAGAAGGAAGGGAGAGAAGGTACAGAAATGAGAAAGACATGAGGAGCAGGAGATAGATATGAGAGATGAGGTACAGAGGGAGAAAAGAGGAGATGAGGAAAAGGTCAGAAAGGGTAGAGAGGAGAGAGAGAGAAAGGGTACAGAAAAGCGAAAGATGTGAGGGGCACGTGGGTAGAAAGAGGAGAGATAAAGCAGAGAGAGGAGGGAGAAAAGGGGAGACGAAGAACAGATGGGGGATAGAAAAAGAAGAGTAAGGGAGGAGAGTGAGAGAAAGAGGGAACAGAAAAGCAAAAGCCGTGAGGAGCAGGGGGCAAAAAGAGGAGAGAAAGGGTAGAGAGCAGGGGAGGGATGAGAAAGGACAGAGGAGTGGAAGGAAGGGAGCGTTATTGAGAAGGTGCAGAAAAGAGAAAGGGAGAAAAAGGGAGAGAAGGAACAAGTGGGGGTAGAAAGAGGAGAGAGAGAAAAGGGGGAAAGGAGGAACAGATGGGGATGGAGAGAGAAGGGTACGGCAAAGCAAAAGACACGAAGGACAAGGAGGTGGGATCGAAAGAGAAGAGATAAAGTAGAGAGGAGGAACAAAAAGAAAGAAAGGAGGAGAGAAAGAGAGGATAAGGGAGAGAGAGAGAGAGGGGACAGAAAAGCGAAAGATGTGATGGGCAGAGGGGTAGACAGAGGAGAGGGAGAAAAGGGGCGAGGAGGAACAGATGAGGGTGGAAAGAAGAGAGAAGAGAGGGGGAGAGAGAGTACAGAAAAGCGAAAGAAATGAGGGTAGAAACAGGATAGATAGAGCAGAGAGAGGAAAGAAAGAGTAGAGAGGAGGAGAGGGATGAGAAAGGACGGAGGAGTGGAAGGAAGGGAGCGTTACTGAGACAGAGGAAGATAGAAAAAACGAGAGAGAGGGATAGAGGGAGGGTGAAAGAGGGTACAGAAAAGCGAAAGATGTGAGAGGAGGAGGAGAGGGAGAGAGGCAGAGAGGAGGAACAGGTGGGGATAGAAAGAGGAGAGAAAGAGTAGAGAGGAGACGAGATGAGATAGAGAGAAGGGGAAAGGAGGAAGAGAGGAGAAGCGAAAGATGTGAGGGGGGCAGGTGGGTAGAAAGAGGAGAGATGATGCAGAGAGAGGAGGAGAAGGAGAGAAAGAAAAAGGGGCGAGGGAAGAGAAGAGAAAAGAGAGGGTACAGAAAAGCAAAAGACGTGAGAGGCGAGATAAAAAGAGGAGAAAAAGGGCAGAGGGGACGAGAAAGGACGGAGGAGCGGAAGGAAGGGAGCGTTATCGAGACGGAGGAGGACGGAGGCGAGGGATAGAGGGAGGGTAAGGGTGAAAGAGGGCACAGGAAAGAGGCGAGTGAGGAAGAAGAGGGAGAGAAAAAGAGAGAAAGAATGAATCAGACTTTGTAATGAGGGACCCACATGATCCATCTGCTGCAGTTTGAACTCATGACTCAGAAAAACATTAAAACAGATTCACACTGAGAGCAAAGCCGCCACACCATTATACATACGCTTTAGCTTACACAAAATGGATTCTTGCGAGCTTTAAACGAGCAGTGTGTAACTTTTCCGCCGCCTGCTTGTTTCTATGGATACGTCGTTGCTCTGCGTCCGTCCACAGTGTGACGTTAAGCAGCTCGAATTTACGTTTTTTCAGTTACAGGTGGTTTTAGAGCTCAAAAGTCCCCCCAAAAAAGACATTCTGACAGGGTCGCCTTTCCACAGATCTACGTATGTTTCCTCATCACAAACATACCTAGAGTTGTTTCATTCACCGTATTTTTCGGAATATAAGATGCACTTTTTTCTTGGTGTGGGTGTTTCCTGTGACTTATACTCCAGTGTGACTTCTATATAAAAATGTTCACACTGAAGCCACCAGATTCTCTAGTCTTGTGTGTCAGTATCAGCAGCTCCTATTACTGCTGTACCACTGTCACTTCACTCTACTGTGCATGTCTCCTGCAGAAAGAGCTGCTGTCCTGCTGCAAGTAGTGAAATATTCAGCTGAAAACGGTAATCGAGCAGCAGAAATAAAGTTTGGAGTGAGCGAGACACTTGTGAGGGGCTGGTGGAAAGCGGGGAAGGAGAACAGATTCACAGTAACCAGGAGGATGCAACATGAAACTTTCCTGAAATCACAGGATGGATGGACAAAGCCTGGACTTCAATGACACCGAAACCATCCTGTCGGGATTCAGAACGACCGGAATAATTCTAACTGGAACTGATCCCGAGTTTGACGACAGCTACACAGAAGAGGAAGCGGCGCTCTGTTTACCTCCGCAGGTCGAGGAGTTGCTCAGAAGTGACACTGAGAATGAAGAATTGAATGGATTTAGTGATTTGGAGTGAGATGGAGAGTTTGGTAAACTTCATCTGTTCTATTGTTTACATTATCTGAAGAACTGTTCATATGTGACGTTAACAGCCTGTTGTTTCTATTATTTCTATAATTTGCCTTTCAAGATGAAATGTCATTTCCTGTCTCTGATTTTATAAAATAAATTTCCCACAAAAAGTGTGACGTATATATGTTTTTTTAATTCTTTATTATGCATTTTTGGAAGGCTCTCTACTCTCTGGAGCGACTTACAGTCCGAAAAATACCTTAATACTTATTATTTGTCTACACCTCAATAGCTCAAAATGCTCTAAAAAAAGTTACAAAATAAGCGCTTCCTGTACCTCCAGAGAATAATATACAGTAGATAAAACTCAGTATTGCTCTTTGGGAAGGAAAGTCAGTTAAAAGATGCAAAAAACCCAAGGCACTCACTGGTTAAAATAAAATGCCTTTATTAATTTACTTACAAAGTCCCGACGTGTTTCAGCCTGTGGCTTGTCCCCTGAGGAAAACCAGAGGCTGAAATACGTCAGGACTTTGTAAGTAAATTAATAAAGGCATTTTATTTTAACCAGTGAGTGCCTTGGGTTTTTTGCATCTCAGAATGCTCTGTTACACCTTGTGATGTCATGAACCAGTAGTTTTCAGGTTTACAGCTACATTTTACCTATCAAATCAAATGTATTTGCACATTTAAAACAGTCAAAGCTTAGCAACAGCATTTAGAGTGAAATAAAGCACACACTAAGCAAACCAAGGAGAAGTACAATAATAAATAATAATAACAGCAAGGTGCCAAGGTGTCTCTTTCTAACTCTGGGCAAATGCCAAGGAGAAAAGATGTGTTTTGAGCAGGGATTTAAAGTGCTCCAGTGACTGTGCAGTTCTAATGTGCAACGGCAAAGTGTTCCAGAGTCACGGACCGACTACAGAGAAGGACCCGTCTCCTCTGGTCCTCAGCCAGGTCCTGGGAACAACCAGAAGGTGATGGGACATGGGGCTGAAGGAGTTCAAATAAACAGGAAGGTACCATGCCATAAAGACGCTTAAAAAACAATCATTAAAATTTTAAACTGGATTCTAAAACGTACAGGGAGCCAATGCAGGGATTTAAGATGATTTAAGAAAAAAGTGAAGCTGTGTAGAGTTTAAAAACACAGTGGAGCACTTCCTGTATTACCACATGACATCACAAGGTGGAACACAGCATTTTGTTTTCAGTTTGAGAGAAGAACTCAGCCTAAATATGCAGGATTTGTGTGTTATTATGGACCCTTTAAATGAAAAAATACTCAACAAATTTGAATCATTTTGTCAGTCACTTTTTATTCTTGGTTGTAGTTGTAATTAAATAGTAAAATACACTATGAGTTGAATATAGGATAATAATAAAATATATCGTCGGTGCATTTTCAGGAGACATCGGTTTGAAAAAATAAAATAAAAACATGCACTGAAAAAAATAAGCACATAAAACCAGTTCAAAACAAATCCAGTGACTCAGAAACATATACATAAACGACTGCATATTTATATTTAACATTACGCTGTACAAACCGCAGAAATGAACACAAGTTGATCTGACATAACAAAAATGTGCAAAAAGAACATTTACATTTTATTCAACCTTCCACTTTCTAATCCACTAGTTCATTATTAAACATTACATTAAAGGTCTGATGTTACGTGAGCTTTAAGTCATTTTATAATGTTGTTACCTCCTCAAAAACAAACCTGGAGTTGTGTTTTGCTTCATTCACATGTTTGAGTAACACTTTATTGTTACTCTGTCTGTTTCTCCAAAGCTCAAAATGCTCTGTTCCACCTTGTGATGTCATGAAGTGGTTGTTTTTTGACGTTAACAGCCACATTTTGTTCTTTTGTTTAGCAGAGATTGTGCGAATGAAACAAAACATAACTCCAGGTATTGCAATTGTATTTAATGGCACCTGTTCCACCCTTATGCTCACTAATTTTGCTCTTAGGCAGACAGAATTCCTTTCACCTTTCACTGTTTTTCAATCCGTTGGGAAGCAAAACAGTTTGAACGGAGGTTTGCCGTTACACAGATCTGATTCCCTTTTGCAGTTATGGAGTTCGCAAACTTCTGAAGCCCATTTTCCGCTGTTACGACATCCAACAACCCCATAATTACGATGTCCGAATCCCATAACGAAAATATGACGATATCAGAACCAGAAACAGAAGTGATGTGGTTCAAAAGATCGTCTTTGTCAATAGACACATCCCAATGGGTAATCAAACATGGCGGCTTGATGCTCACTTTTTCGGAAAATCCTTCCCAGTATGCATTGCGCGATGACTGGAAGTTTGAAATTTGGGATGCATGTATAGAGCCTACTTTGCAGGTCGAAAAGCATTGGCATCCCTCTGTGTGATAAAGGACTTTTAATATATTCAGTCTGTGTGCCTCGGGTTTGTACTTTATCCATTTTTATATTTTTTCCAGTAAGGGCTACTCACTGTTGACACATAAAAATTTTAACGCTCGTAGAGCATCTGTACTGCTATTTTTTAACTTTTTTATAAGCCAGTGAAGCGTTCTACTTTTTTTTTCATCTGACAACTCCCAATGAAGAAACAACATTATAACAGAGATCAAAAAACAGCGTAATATACTGTAGACCCTTTAAAGATGCACTATGTAACTTTTCTGGGTGAAACTCTGCCACCTGTCGGTCAACATGGGGACGCAATGAATTTGTCTGGAAAGTTCCACAGTCTTTATCGTTCTACATGGTGACAATCGAGTGAAGTTACAGAATCCGTGTATCATTTGTTCATTCATTTTTCTAAATGAAACCAAAATTAAGAAAACAAAAAAAACAACAGTTTTCTTCATTATTTGTCTCCAAAACCAAAATGAAAAAACAGATAACGGCTGTTTCCCGTTTCCGTGACTTCTGTGACTGCGATGCCGGACACAGACAGAACCAGGACTAAACCAGGACTAAACCAGGTCCGGGACCAGACCGGGACTGAGACCAGGACTGAGACCAGAACTGAGACCAGGCCTTAGAAACGGGACCAGACAAGGACTGAGTCTGGAACCAGGACTGGGACTGAGACTGGGATCAGACCAGAACTGAGACCAGGAGTGAGACCTGGACCAGACCGGGACCAGACCAGGACGGATGCTGGGACCAGACCGGGACCAGACTGTGATTGAGACCAGGACCAGACCAGGACTGAGACCAGGACTGAGACTGGGACCAGACCAGGACTGAAAACGGTTTAGTCCTGGTTTAATCCTGTTTTAGTTCTGATTCAGTCCTGGTTCAGTCTGTATGCGGTGCAAAAGTCACGGAAGTCACGGAAACGGTAAACAGACGTTATCCCTTTTTTCATTTTGGTTTTGGAGACAAATAATGAAGAAAACAGTAATTTTTTCGTTTTCTTATTTTTGGTTTTATATTGAAAAACGAATGAACGAATGCTACACGGATTTTACAGGCCCGCCCCATACGCACAGTGCAACTTTTTAACATTTTCACAATACAACAACATCAGTAAACAGTAAAAATGTACAAAATGTATTTCTCTAAAAAACTACCATCCCTCTTTGACCCTGTAAGACCAAGTTATATTTTACATTCAAAAATTACAATCACTTTTTGAAATATCGGGAGCACTGCTTTCTACAATAATGGCACCCTTGGCAAGCAAACAAAAAAAAACAAAATAACAAAAAAACAAAAAATATGAATTGTTTTATTAGCTGAACATGGATTAATTGGGTATTTTGAGCTTTAGTTGAAGAATAAAGTGTCAGTAGCATCAGTACTTTGGTTCCAGTGGCCAAAATCTCCATGAACCTCTGCTGGACGACTGGACTTTACTGATTTTACTCATAATTGTCCTGGTTTTGGTTCCAGTTTAGTCCTGGCGTAGACTTTTTCTGTTCTAGTCTTGGTTTAGTCCTGACCTAATCCCCATTTTTGTTTGTGTTGCCAGCAAAAAAAACATCAACATTTGATTAAAGAGAGGGAATTTTACTTCTATGCCAACACATAAAATTTAAATCACCATGTTACCTTTCATTGTTGTAAAAATTGTATATTTGTCGAAAACATATTCAGTTTCATTTTTAACCCTGTGAGTCGTTAGCCTGATTCATCAGCCTGACCTTGCAGCATTAGGATTCAGTTCGCTCGACGATAGGTAGGTACGTTTTTTATGTAACTAATCGCTGCTATTTGGTCGTGACATGTAACGCGCCAAAACCCGTAGGAAGAAGGGCAATAACGTCTAAAATTCACCAAACATTCTCTTTCTTTCGGCTTTAAATCCTCGATCTCGGGAAACGTTGCCAACACAGAATGTGTGTCTTCATCTACATCCATCTCGATGGCTTTGTTTACTGTTGTGTTGTATCACAAAAGGGACCCAGACAGACACTTGAGTTTGAAGTCATGGCTTCACAACTCTTCACTGATTGGTCGGTGCGAGGTCTACAACTTCTGGGGTTCTTGCAAACGGTCTAGTGGATTCCGATTCCTGACCTAGTCACTGGAGAGAAATGAAATTGAGTGGAAGCACTAGGTGGCACCAGCCTGGATAGTGAGTCGCTGCTCCTCACACTAAGTTACTCATCTTTCAGAGCACCATCACATTACATGCCTCAAACATGCATGGAAGACATATAAAACCAATTCAAGCATGTTTTTGGTTCAGACTGCAGCCTGAAGTGACCCAAATCTGATTTTTTTGCCCCTCTGCGACCTGTATCTGATGTTTTTATGACAGTCTGAACGACACAGATCTGATCTTCGATATGTGCTCCTAAAATTGATATATATCTGATATTTTGACATGCGACTTCAGTCTGAACGGCCAGGTCACATTCATCCAACCTACATGTCATCAGCAAGCGACAAACATCACTATTTTGCACTGAAGTAGATGGAAACTGGAAGAAATCTCCTCTTTAAAACGAATAAGCTGCACAGCCGGTACGACAGCAACTTTAAAATCTCCAGATGCTCATGTTTAGGCGACTTCTGTAAACACTGAACATGTGACGCCATCGTGTCCCCCAATGTGCATGTGGGACACTTTTGGGGCATTTATAGTTCACACTGGAGATCACATACAAGTTGCATTTAATTGGAAATGTGAATGACCTGGCAAAAAAAACGGATTTCACAAAAAAAATCCAAACTGAGCAGTAAGCCGTTCAGTCTGAACGTAGCCTTTGATGAGGGAACAAAGTTATAACATGGTAAAAGGCTCCATAAAGTCGAATCTGCATAACACCCCATCTTTGTTAGCAAGATAGCAAGACCAAAAGCTTATTATTTTATTACTCCAGCATGTCAACCTTGTGCTGTGACTCTTGCGAAAAGTTTTCAACCTCAGTCATTCCAAATCGATACTACAAACATATGAGTGATATGATGATTAGACTTTTTGCCATGTCTAAACCAGGACTAGAACCAGGACCTAACCAAGTCTACAGCAGGTCTACATTCATTTTGGGAACACTAAAGGTCCTATATTACACAAAACTGACTCTTCTGCACTTTAAGCAATGTTATAATGTTGTTCTTCTTCAAAAAAACACACCTGGAGATGTGTTTTGTTTCATTCACACATGTTTAAGTAATCCGTTATTTAGTTAAACATGTGTAAATGAAACAAAACACAACTCCAGGTCTGTTTGTGATGAGGAAACATTATAACATAGCTCAGAAAATAACATAATATGGGCCTTTTAAAACAGTAAATATGGTTTTCACAATGCTTCATAAATTGATTTGATTTTGTGGTGTCTGTCAGGACCTGCGTCAGACCAGTTGCAGAAGCAGGTCCTGGAAGGTCTGTAGTCCTCGTGTGGAGTTTTTTGGTTCAGGGTCTGAGTTGAACTGAGCTGCTAAAAGGAAGAGTTTCCGTTCTTCAGACACAGGGCCGAGAGAGAGGGCCTCGTGGAGCTCCGAGATACTGGCTGCTCCGGGTTTGTCCTGAGAGAAGAAAAAAACAGAAAATAATCAATTATGCAATGTAGTTATAATCCTTGACAAGAGGGGATCATTATGTTGTATTTTGGACATTTTAAATCGCAATATTGGTCTATAACAACTTACAACTTAAAGGTGCACTGCTCAACTTTTCTGGTGGAGGGTTCTGCTACCTACTTGTCTCCATGGAGATGTTATAGCTTTGCCAGGAATGTTCCATGGTATGACTTTAAACATATACATCTAGTATTTTGTATTTAGTGAGTTTGCCCAACCAGTCCATGTGCTTTGTGGATCTGGAGAAGGCATTCGACCGTGTCCCTCGTGGTGTCCTGTGGGGGGTGCTCTGGGAGTGTGGGGTTCGGGGCCCTTTGTTTAGGGCTGTCCGGTCCCTGTATGACCGAAGCAGGAGCTGTGTTCACATTGCCGACAGTAAGTCAGACCTGTTCCTGGTGCATGTTGGACTCCGCCGGGGCTGCCCTTTGTCACCGGTTCTGTTCATTGTATTTATGGACAGAATTGTATTTATGGACAGAATTTCTAAGCGCAGTCAGTGGCTGAAGGGGGTCCGGTTTTGTGGACCACAGGACAACATCATCTGCAAACAGCAGAGATTCTCATCCCTGCTGTTTGCTGTTGTCAGGCCAGACCTGCAACGTGCACTGGGGCGGTTTGCAGCTAAGTGTGAAGTGGCTGGAATAAAGATCAGCTCTCATCCAAGTCCGAGGCCATGGTTCTCAAACGGAAAAAGGTGGCTTGCCCTCTCCAGGTGAGTGGAGAGTCCCTGTCTCAAGTGGAGGAGTTCAAGTATCTCGGGGTCTTGTTCACGAGTGAGGGGAGGATGGAGCGTGAGATTGACAGGCGGATCGGTGCAGCGTCGGCAGTGATGCGGTCGCTGTTTCAAACCGTTGTGGTGAGGAGGGAGCTGAGCCAAAAGGCAAAGCTCTCAATTTACTGCTCAATCTACAGCCCTCCCCTCACCTGTGGTCATGAGCTTTGGGTAATGATCGAAAGAACAAGATCACGGATACAAGCGAAATGAGTTTCCTCCACAGGGTGGCTGGGCGCTCCCTTAGAGACAGGGTGAGGAGCTCAGTCACACAGGAGGAGCTCGGAGTAGAGCCACTGCTCCTCCACGTCGAGAGTAACCAGCTGAGGTGGCTCGGGCATCTGTTCCGGATGCCTCCTGGGTGCCTCCCTCGGGAGGTGTTCCGAGCATGTCCCAACAGAAGGAGGCCCCAGCCAGGACACGCTGGAGGGACTATGTCTCTCTGCTGGCCTGGGAACGCCTTGGGTCCACCTGGAAGAGCTGGAGGAAGTGTCCAGGGTGAAAGAAGTCTGGGAGTCCCTGCTTAGACTGCTGCCCCCGTGACCCGGCCCCGGATAAGCGGAAGAAAATGGATGGGTGGATTCAGTATTTATTCATCACAGGTGTTTCTATTGATCAAATATATAATAATTTCTTGTGTGACCAGGGCGACTCTCCACAGATCTGAACTGTAATGAAGCATACCGGTGTAACCTGCTCGTTGCCCTTGTGATACAGTAGGTTAAATCTATACTGTGGAACATTCTAGATAAAGCAATAATATTCCCATAGAGACAAGCAGGTGGCGGTCCCTCCAATACAAATGTTACGCAATGTTTTTTTAATGCTGTGAAACTTACATAATGCGTCTTTAACTGGAGTAAACAGATTATCACATTTGCCAACCAATCCCAGCTCCATCCACAGAGCATTGTGTCCTTGGGCAAAACACTTCACCCACTATTGATACTTGGCAGCTGCTGTCATCAACATTCCCCGGAGGTGTGATTAGGGAGGCCAGATTTTCAAAATTAAAAACTGGGACACGCCCGGGTTGAGATGGTTGGTATAAATAAAACAGAAAAGAGTGTGAAACATTGTGTACAGTACACATTCTGTATTTTGGCAAAACAAATGATCATTTATGCTCCTCTTTACTGTTGGCAGGGATCAGAATAGTCAGAAACTGTGATAGTCCTGGTTTAGACCTGATGTAGTCCTGGTTTAAACCTGGTGTAGTCCTAGTCCTACTTTAGATCTGATGTAGTCCGGGTTTAGTCTTAGTTCAGTCCTGGTTTAGACCTGATGTAGTCCGGGTTTAGTCTTAGTTCAGTCCTGGTTTAGACCTGATGTAGTCCGGGTTTAATCTTAGTTTAGTCCTGGTTTAGTTTTAGATTAGTCCTGGTTTAGACCTGATGTAGTCCTAATCCTGGTTTAGACCTGACATCGTCCTGGTTTAGTCCTGATTTAGACCTGATGTAGTCCTGGTTTAGTCTTAGTTTAGTCCTGATTTAGACCTGATGTTTAATCTTAGTTTAGTCCTGGTTTAGTCTTAGTTTAGTCCTGATTTAGACCTGATGTTTAATCTTAGTTTAGTCCTGGTTTAGTCTTAGTTTAGTCCTGATTTAGACCTGATGTTTAATCTTAGTTTAGTCCTGGTTTAGTCTTAGTTTAGACCTGGTTTGGCTCAAATTGATCAAAAATAGAGAGTTTCCATTAAAACAGTTTTTGGCAGTGTTTGCTATAAATGCTGAACATTCCACCACAGAGACACACGTAGAACACCCCCAGCGCGACATCACTGCAAAGTATCAGCAGATGCACCTTACCACCAGCAGTGCATTGTGGGTAGTGAAGTGAATATGACTAAACATCCTACATATTAGTCACAGGAGCTTAAACTCTGTGTGTGAATCAGACTCGGAGGGAGAGATTTTTCACGTATAGTTGAATGAAACGTGACGAGTTCTGTCCCACGCTTGGTTCAAAAATATAAACAGCCCCCTCATTAAAACGCACGAACAAGATGCTGTACAGGTGCATTGTGGGTAAATCAAAACAGGCTCCGCCCACTCAGATCTTCTGGAGTTTGTGGCGTGAACACAACGTATGCTCTTAAAGCCGGAGGAGGTGAGGAGAGAAAGAGAAAAAAAAAAACACAGCTGAGATCTGAAAATGATGAACAGATCTCAGAAACTCTTGTGTTTAAAAATATATTAGACTAGAGCAGGAGTCTCCAGCATTTTTCCTCTGATGAGCTAGTTTTACAAATCGAAAGTACCAGAGAGCTCGTAATTTTAGTGTTTACAACAAATTTTGTACATAAAAGCCAAAGTAAGACTTAGATCATAAATACCAAACTCAGGCCCGGGGGCCAAATTCTGACCCATGATATAATTATATTTGGCCCACAAGATTGTATCAAATATGTATTAGAGCTGGCCGCCGGCTACAGATAGACTATAGAGACATTATTTATTTAAAATGTTGTTATTATTTTATATTATGCTTGTTTAATAATAGCTTTGCTTAAACATTAAATCCAGAACGTTTATTTTAATTAAATAAAAAAAAAAAAAAGGTTTAACATTACAGATCTCGAAAGAAAAGAAAACATGCAGATGTTGTTGAAAATTTTCAGTTTTTAATTTTGGCCTCTGTGAATTTGAGTTTGACAGCCCTGCCTTAGATGGTGTGCAGTTAGATGTCTATAAAATAAAAACCATTATCCATATATTAGTGCAAAGTCAGGCATCAAAATGACACATTTACCATGGTAATTAATCAAATTTTAGTTTTACATATAAATCATAAATGCTCCCGAGCTACAGGCTGGAGATTCCTGGACTAGAGTAAAAAATGACTTGAATTCAGAATAATCCGTTTTAAAATATGAATATAATACGAAAAAACCCCCCCAAAAAAACCAAAACCCAAAAATATGAAAGATTTATACTTTGCAGCTGATGTCACCAATGTTCCCTGGGCATGTGATGCTAACTCTAGGCTCTGCTCTGTCTGAGGTTTTGTTAGACTTTCATCTGAGTTTTGTTTGAACACAATTTGACCATAAAAAAATGATTTAGTTGTTTCAGATGAGCGGATTTGTGAGCTTAAACAAGTCCAGTGTTGTCAGATTGACTGGTGCCCACCCAATTGGGCTTCTTTTGACTACATCAGGCGGGGAGCGGGAAGCCTTAGGTTGGCAGGTAATATTTGGGCGACTTTCAACAAGTTTGGGCGTTTTTTTGTTTTCGCACAATCAATACAATACGCAATAATGCAAGGAACCGTATGGGACTTTCACTCCTGTCCAGTCTTATGGAGGTGCGCTCCGGCCTGTGCACAAATGAATAGACGTCCACTAGGTTCAGACCTCCCCAGCAGCTGTTGTAGAGATTAAATTCTTCGATGAATAAGTCTCAGGCTCTGTGTTTGTAGCAGCTAAATAATCAACAAAACTGTAGTGCTGTAACAAAATAATTTAGGAAAATATACCAAAAAATACTCTTGGCGATATATCGATACAGCAGCCCGCGATATCGATACTGTATCATCACATTAAATGATATGATATATCGATATTTTGCCCTAGATGTGACTATGAATATATGTCACTTTAAAGGTGCACAATGTAACTTTTTGGTTGGGAATCCATCACCTGCTTGTTTCTATGGAGATGTTATTACTCTACCTGTAATGTTCCACAGTATGACTTTAAACCAGGGGTGGGCAAACTTTTTGGCTCGTGGGCCACAAAAGGTTCTAAAATTTGACGGAAGGGCCGGACCAGGAGCAGATGGATGGAGTTTTTTGGTAATCCACCTCATAAGAGAAAAAAATAATGAATAACGAATTGAAATATCCCATAATTGAAAATTACTGCAAAGCATTACAACAAAATATCTGTCTTTCAAGTCCCACAGTATTTACTATTTATTGAAATGACTTTTAAAACACTGTAAATTATTATTATTATTATTATTATTATTATTATTATTATTATTATTATTATTATTCAAGTTCGATGAGCCGGATTAAAAAGATTAAAGGGACACATATGGCTCCCGGGCCGTAGTTTGCCCACCCCTGCTTTAAACAGATCTACATTTCATTTGTTCAATTACAAGTGGTTTTATAGCTCAAAAACACCTCGAAAAACAAATATTCTGACTGTGAGTGGGGTCGCCTCTTCACAGATCTGACCTGTAACTTGGTCTGGTTCTGGTCTCCATGTAGACAGAAAGATACCATACTGTGAAACATTCCAGACGTCTCCATGGAGACAGGGATTGGACGGACCCTGCACCAGAAAAGTTACACAATGCGCCTTCAATAAAGCGAAAAGCAATTCTAGCTCCACCAAAATGCCATTGGGTGTGAAAGAAAAATGTATTCAGCGTTATCAGAATGCTGCAGTTTTGAGGTGATGGATTCTGCCCCGAGCTCTTTGTGTGAAATACGACTGTGAAATATGAAATATGTGTTTATCCTGTGCAGGTGCATAGATCATCTCTAGAAAAGAGCCGAGACGAGGGATGGGCCTGTCTCCAGCTCACAGGAGGAGTTTTGTTAAAGGACATATTACACATACTTTCCTGTGGCTTTAAAAGGCTCATATTACTCTATTTTCTTATCACAAATAGACCTGGAGTTGTGTTTTTTGTTTCATTCACACATCGAATTTTAATCACGATTTCAATTTGTGAGTCAAACGATCTCCAAACTCATACAATCAAGTTGAAACGATTTAAAGATTAAGATTTTGGGGTATTTTTTTTATAAATAGGTATATTTATTTCATTTTTTACATATAGAGTTTGTAAAACAGCTGGATATATAGTTTATTTTGGATACATTTATGTTTTTCCATGTATTTTTTATTAATTTTATATTCTATACATCGTAAAACTGCTCTAAGGTTCATATTTGTAGCCTGTATTTATTTTCAACTTGGAAGTTTTCTCACTTACATATCCTTAACAAACTGGTTTGAATATTTGCTTCATATAGTTTTCTACCATATGGTACAAGATTAGGTTGAAAAACCTCTTACTTTTTGAGTCATGAGATTTTTTATTAAGAAAGGTCATGGTAACGGAGGGAAAAGTAACGGAGGGAAAATTGTGCAAGCAAGTAGAAGGTGCATGATTTTGCATAATTTGTCAGCTTTTTTCTTCCAAATACTTTAATATTACTTCAAAATGAAAGGAAACTATTTCTATAAAATATATCAGTCCTTCCAAGCAAATTTTTATCATTACCTCCGCCAAGGAGGTTATGTTTTTGCCGGCGTTTGTCTGTTTGTTTGTTTGTTTGTTTGTTTGTCTGTTAGCAACATAACTCAAAAAGTTATGGACCGATTTTGATGAAATTTTCAGGATTTGTTGGAAATGTGAAAAGGAAGAACTGATTTCATTTTGGGGGTGATCCGGAAGAAATCCTGGATTCTGGATCACTTTGAAATTTTAGTTAACATTGTGGTAAATGGGGCCAAAAAATTTGTTTCTTAATATCTCGGTTAATTATTGACCAAACCCCATGAAATTTGACTCAGGGATGGACAATGGGATCCTCTTTTATATTCCAAAGGCTGATCCGGATCTGATCCAGAAGACTGATTTTATCGCAATTTATATAAAAAATGGGGGTAGTCCTTGGCAGAGGTCTGCGCTCTCTGAGTGCTTTTCTAGTTTTAAATACTTTATGTATGTATGTACCTTCATCAACATAAATCATGTACCTTCATCAACAGTTCAAAGATGGAATAACACAAGATATGATGAAATACATTATTTACATGATTTGCAGGTCTTTGAAATTTGGGAAATAATTTTTGTTCCATGTTTCATACATGGTCTGTTTAAAACATATGTAACTTTAGAAACAAAAATGGTACAGAAAAAAGGTCAACAGTTTCATAAACTAGAGTACATATGTATCTGTTGAATACATTTTTATATCAGATGCATTAACTTGAATTTTTGGCCTTGCTGTTTACTTCTGCTTGACCGGACCCATATGACAATATCAGAATCAAAAACAAAAGTGATATGGTTCAAAAGACTTGAAAAGATCGGCTTTAACAATAGAGGTCATCTGTTTTATCTGGTTTTCCTGGTGTGCATATAAACGTTGTGAGTTTGTGTTTTTCACCTGTTTGTTTGCGAGGACCACGACTGGCAGCTGCGGCCCTGCCCTCAGGAGCCGGTGGAGCTCGGACTTGGCCACAGGGAGTCTGGTCCAGTCTGAGGAGTCCACGATAAAGACCAGAATGTGGGTCCTCCTTACGTACTCACTCCAGTATCCACGTAAGTCCTCCCCACCGCCAACTGAGAACAACACAGGGACTGGGTTCACCTTAGGGTTGCCCAAAGAATCAAAAAACAGATACAAATAACAAAACTAAAACTGAATCTAGAGATTCCACTTTCCACTTTATTTCTATACCACATTTTACAAACAAAGCAGTTTCCAAAGTGCTGCACAGAGAACATAAAATTAAGACAACAAAATGTAAATTGCTAAAAATGCGATCATACTAGTCCTAAAACAATAAAACCAGTAAAAATCAAGTAAAAGCAAAACAATAAAAATCATAAAATAGCAATAAATAAGCACCGTAAAATAAATAAAAGACACAGATGACCACACAACTCAGAACAGAGAATAAAAAGTGGGTTTTGGATACAGAGATTGTGATTTCTTTTGCTGTGGAAAATGCAGCAGGAATTATTGCACAAATTTAAAATAATGTTAAAACAGAGCCAAAAAATGTATTGATTTAAATGTATTTGTTTAAACTGGAATGATATGTATGATAATGGTAGATTTGTCTGGACTTTTTTTGGAATATTCACCACAAAAACACCGGAGTGGTCTATATTTTATACAGAATAAATCTATGTTTGTGTTTATTTCATGACATTTTCTGTAAATGAAGCATGTTATTGGTGATAATAGGGGTCATATGAATTACTTTGTACTTTGCCATGAAATATTGGAAACATAAATTCCCAAAAATGGACCCTGATCATTTATATTATGGACTAGACCCAAGACCATGCTATATTACAACAAAAATCGGACATTGAACAATATAAAGTTTAGCTGCCCCTCCATCTGTATTAAAACCTGTGTTAAATGATATTGGCCTAGAGAATGCTTCTTTAACTGTGCCCTATACAGAAATAAACATCTACAAATCAATCAAATTGTACAGTCACTTTGAACCTATAGATAATTATTATTGTTAATTAATAGTAGTAGTTCACTTGAGTGTTAAGCCTCGTTTCGACAAAGCCGGTATGGAACGGTGCGGACCCTGAGTGTTTCCACTGTGTAAAGCGATCCGTACAGCCCCCCTTTAGTGGTCTGGAACAGGTGGGATCAGGGACCGGCTCATGGGGGGTGCTGCTAGTCATGCCCCGTACAGTCATTAGACGACCATACACCACATGTAACTGTTATCTAACAATGGTGTAGATCAGGGGTGGGCAAACTCTTTGGCTCGGGGGCCACATAGGGTTCTAAAATCTGACTGACGGGCCAGACCGTAGACAGGACATGATGTGTTAAGAGCCCGGCTCCATTGCACTCGAATTTGCGCTCATGTAGAATGTATTCTGCACTACGCACTACAACTTTTGGGCGCGGAAGTTTCAGGATACGTGAATGACATTTACCCCCTCTCACGACAAGCAAGAGTGAGTCCTGAGCACTTAGATCTCGTTGAGAAACACAGCCCACGCCACAAGGTTACGCATGTAAACACTTACAAATGCAGTGTAACCAGACCCATTAGACATTTCATGTATTAAGATTTATAACACATCATCTGTAAGACTGTAGACTTTGCCTTCAACCTACTCAAAACTGAAACAGTGCAGCCTTATGTCTTGAACACTTCTACCTCACTCGGTCCGAATGCGCCGCCCGAAAATGACTCCTGTCACTATGTAATGCACTATGTAATGCACCATCTACTGGGAAATGCCGGAAACGCAGGAAAAATAAAACATCAACAAGGTTTATTATTGTAATTTAAAAGATTAAAAGGTTTAAAGGGCCGCATACGGCCCCTGGGCCATAGTTTGCCCACCCCTGGTATAGATTCTCACTTGCCAGGAAAACAGAAGTGCTGAAGAAACAGTGTGCAACGTGAAAATTATATCTATCCAGAATAAGTCCATTGGGTGTGTCTTCCTAGACCTGTGTAATGGCCAAAATGCCTGGGCCCACTGTAATGGAAATGCTCCCCAAGTGCTCCCCAAGTTCTGCACCAAGGCGTCCCCAAATGAACCGTGCCAGTGGAAACAAGGCTTTAGTCGCAGTTGTATATTTGGCAAAAGAACATTTATAATAGAAACAGGAGGTGAGAGCCTTGAGACCATGAGACCATAGTGTTGAAATCACAGGCCATTTTCTGAAAGTAAACAAACCTTGAGTTGATTATTTCATTTTTAAAGGTGGTGCTTTTAATTCCCCAAATGTAAGTTTCTGTATTTTGAATTCGACACAAATTTTCTTAAAAGTGCATTGTGCAACTTTTCTAGTGGACGGTCAATCACCTGCTTGTCTCCATGGAGATGTTATTTATCTAGAAAGTTCCATGGTATGACATTAAACACATCTATCTAGCATTTATTCACTACAGGTATTTCTGTTGCTCAAAAAATCTGTGAATAGGGTTGCCTCTCCACAGATATTACCTGTAATTTCAGCTATAGTTGTCTCCGTCCAATGAGGTTCATTTGGTCATTTGATGTTTTATGTTATTAGGTTCTTTTTTCAGTCCAAGAGTTTGTTTCATACCTGACGTGGTGTTGCTGTGATGTGTCCGGTCAGTTGATTTAAACAGGTTTTGGCGTGGTCTTCCTACAGGACTATAAACCAGGACGAGGGGGCTTTTTACTCTCACACACCTGGGATACTGTCCTCCTGCCTCCACCGGTAGGAAGACAGCGCCAAAACCTGTTTAAATCAGCTAACAGGACACGTCACAACAACATCACGTGACTCTGAGGAAGACCAGGAGTGAGCAGTCGAAACTGTCAGGTATGAAACAAAACTCTAGGTCTGAAAAAAGAACCTAATAACATATAGACCACGTATCACCGTATCAGAAATGATCTGCGTCCACACGTCGTTTCTGTGTCTGCAATCCTTCCCTATCCACACAGCTTTGTGCATATTTGTTTACATTTTACGGAAACGAAACTTAAAACCGTATGTCTAATTTACATAAAGTGAACACTCAAAAAACAGCTTGATCCTTGTGCGCTGATGCAGTTCAGCTTCTGTTGGACACGTAAAGAACACGTCTCAGTGGAATATGAGTGTTCTTTCTGTGACAGAGGGATGTTCTGCTGATGGTGAGTCTGTTCTGTGCTTCTATCACGTTGGAAATGGTTCATGTGAAACTTTTCAGAGATGATACGTCTGCAGGCCGCACACACAGACTGTATATATGAAAGGACATGTATTCTAGCCTCTTAGCGTTTTGACGGTGAAATACTTCGCGGCACACAGACCTACATCAGCATATCAGCGTTTTCAGGGGTTCCAGATCAGATCCGTACTCAGATGAATTCGTGGGAGCTGGCGGCACCAGATCGTTCCATCTCTAGAGCCATTTTCCATCAGATTAGTGTGAACGAACACTACATCTACAACGAAAACGACTCGAATACGTACTACTGTGGACGGGGCCGTAGTTGTCTCCCTCGAGTTAGAATGTGAAAAAGTCTGAACAAAGCAATAACATCTCCACGGAGTCAAGCAAGTGACAGACCCTGCGCCATAAAAGCTGCACAATGCACCTTTTAATATTTTGTTTTTGGCTGTGCCCTTGCTAATGCTTCTCATAAAAATAAAATAGAAAAAATAATAATTCGAGGGAAAATTTGACTTTTATTATCCTTGAGACTCAGCCGTGTATCCAAAATGACCTCCTAAAATAAGTCCCGTTTGAGTCATTCATGAGATGAGAGAGTCACAGCACTATGCACCCTTTTACTGCAGCTGCTGTTTCCATGGCGATCACCCGGGCAAACAAAACGCGAAAATCAAATGAAGCAATCATCACATCACAGGTTAAAACTGAGTGGACATTTCTTTGGACAGATCTAGTTTAGATCAATACTAGACCTGGTTTAGACCTGATAGTTTAAAGGGACATCACGCTGGGGGGGTTCTACGTCAATCTGTGTATCATTTGTTTTTCAAAATAAAACCAAAAAAATTAGAAAATGAAAAAACAACTATTTTCTTCATTATTTGTGTTCAAAACCAAAATGAAAAAATGGATAATGATTCGTTTCCCGTTTCCGTGACTTGAACTGTGATGCCGGACTCAACTAGGACTGAACCAGGACTGAACCAGGACTAAAACAGGACTGGACTAGGACTGAACCAGGACTAAACCTCGACTGAACCAGGACTAAACCAGGACTAAAACAGGACTAAAACAGGACTGGACCAGGACTGAACCAGGACTAAAACAGGCCTGGACTAGGACTGAACCAGGACTAAATCAGGACTAAACCTGTCTCAGTCCTGGTCTCAGTCCCAGTCTGGTCCCGATCTGGTCCCGGTCTCAGTCCTGGCCTCAGTTCTCATCTGGTCCTGGTCTTAGTCCCGTCTTAGTCCCGGTCTCAGTCCTCGTCTGGTCCTGATTTCAGTCCTGAGTCTTGGTCCTGTTCTCGGTCTGGTCCCGGTCTAGTCCCGGTCTCAGTCCTGATCACCCGAGAGTCTATGCAAGCGCACCTCCGGGCCTGTCCCCCGACACTCCTGGTAAGTTCTCTTGGTTTAGACCTGGGTTAGACCTGGTTTAGTTCTGTTTTAGTCCTGTTTTTCAAACAGAAAACACTCCACCTTGTGATGTCATGCGGTAATACAGGAAGTGCTCCACTGTGTTTTTAAACTCCACGCACCTTCACGAGAATCATCTGGATAATTTCAGCTCTGAAATTGCCAAACTTTACTGAATTAAAGGTAAAAGGAGCTGTTAACATGAAAACTACCACTTCATGACATCACAAGGTGGAATAGAGCATTCTGAGCTTTGGAGATGTAAACAGACTAATAATAAAGGATTACTCAAACATGTGTGAATGAAACAAAACACAAGTCCAGGTCTGTTTTTGGTAACAGCTTTGTGATGTGGATTAAAGCTCACGAGAGTCAACTCTGCATAATAATGGACCTTTAAATCAGTTATTGTGGTTTAACTCAGAACTGTTTTGCTCTGCTGGAGTTTGGACTTCACTTTCGCTTTATCAGCATTAACGTGAAGGAGGTCAATAAATCTATAGAGCAGAGTTTACATTTGGGTTCTATGGCCCCAACTCCGCACTATGTAACTTATGTACCCAAACAAACTGTACTTTTATACTGTTCATATTTATACTGCTGGTGTGCCCTTGTGCTGTATAGCAAGTAGGGATGGGCATTCGATTAAATTTTCTTAATCGATCGTCGGAAGAATTAACGATCGATTATCGATTAATCATTAACGTTTTTTATATTAAAATTTATCATCATTATTATTACTATCTGCACTACTAATCTGCATAAATAAATTCAACTTTACCACATATAAACCGTAACGACTCTAGAGCCACATCAGCCCGTTTGACATTATAATGTGTTTAATTCAGTTTTGTGCAACTCTCACAGAAACGAAACTTAAAACCGCATTGTTAATTTGCATAAACTAAGCGAAGATAAAACTACAGCTCTTGTGCACTGATGCGGTCAACTTCTGTCGGATTAAAAGACATGACTCAGTGGAATACAGGTTAGTGTGACCAGATTTGTGTTTGTCAAAACCAGGACACCGTACGGGGGGTGGGAGGTGGGGACTCGTCATCGACATTGCGCGACTCTCACCTGGCAAAGCTTTTTCACACTGGACACCGAAAAATATGTTCCTGCTTTGTACACTGTGCACATGGACTCACACTTGTCCCGAACGGAACAAAAAGTGTGGAATTTCTTGTACAAGTCATCGTTAAATACACATTTGTGCTTCGGCATGTTGCAGGCTGACTGACTGTTTGTGTCTCGCCCCTCCTGAGTGCAGAGCTACATGTATGGACCTGGTATTGGTCACACTACGCACAGCAACCTACATTTGGTTTGTCGATTAAAACGAACATAAACGATTAAATTCTTAATGATCAATTATCGATTAATCGACTAATCATGCCCATCCCTAATAGCAAGAACATTCTGGGTTTGAGTTTGCATGTTCTCTCGATGATATTAACCAGCGCTAGTGCAGCTCTGTGAGTGAATTCTGGAGTTTCTGAGCTTTCACTGTCTAAGGAATGAACCAAAAAAATTATAATTGTGACAATTTTGGAATAAAAAAGTAAACTTATTATGCAGCGCTAGCAAAAAATTGGTTTCTTTAAATGTCCTATATTACACAAACCTCCTTGTCAAAGCCTGGTCAGACCACAGAAGCTAAACTGGGCCTGGTTAGTACTTGGATGGGAGACCACTGGGAATTACAGGTGCCACAGTGCAGCGCCAGTTGCAAAAAACTGTCGTTGTGTCCTTACGAAGATACTCACATTTTTATACAGCACTTTTCCACCTTCAACGCACTGAAAGCGCTTTAAATCAAATTACCATGCACCCGTTCACACACAAGTGTTAAGTATCTTGCCCAAGGACACAAAGACAGCATTCATCTGTTTGAGTTGAAATCAGTGGTCAATGGATCTGACCACTCAGCCAATGATGCTTATGTCGAGAGTGGGATTAGAACCGCCAACCTTCAGATCAGTGGACAAACTCGCTACCAACTGAGCTACTGCCGGCCCTGTTTAGTATGAAAGTGGTGTGTGTGTGTGTATTGGTGTGTGTGCGTGCGTGTGTGTGATGTTGGTGGTCAGATGGTGCAGCTTGGCAGCCTTTCTTCCATCAGTCTACCCCAGAGCAGCTGTGAATGGAAAATACACCAACCTGTAAAATGACTTTGAGTGTGTATAAAAGCGTAATATAAGACTAATGCATTATTATTTTATTATTAATAAATTGACTCTTGTGAGTTTTTAGATATGCTTTAATGTTGTTATCTCCTCAAAAACAGACCTGGAGTTGTGTTTTGTTTCATTCACATCACATATGTCTGAGTAATCCTTTATTATTGGTCTGTCGACTCGAGATGCTCTGTTCCACCTTGTGATGTCATGAAGTGGCAGTGTATACAACTTGGGACAGTCAGGAGAAGCTGTTATGTGTTTGTGTGTTTAGAAAGCAGCAGAGACATTTGAGACTTGTACAAAAAAAAATCGAAATATTGATATATCGTATTGTTTAATGTGATGATACAGTATCGATATCGTGGGCTGCTGTATTGATATATCGCCAAGAGTATTTTTTTGTATATTTTAGTAAATTATTTTATTACAGCGCTACAGTTTTGTTGATTGTTTAGTGAAAGGAAACTTGTTTATGCGACACATTTGACATTTTCACTGTTTTGATGATTAAAATGTTAGTGTTTCATATGAACTTTGCACAAGAAGTGGTTTAACAAAGACTTTTAGTATCACAGCCACGATCGAACCTTTATTTTTACTGAACCATTTTGAATCGATTTGAAATATATCGTATCGAATCGAGGTATGTATCGTATCGGCAACTTCTTAATGATATATGAGTTAAAATCTAGCTAATTACAATAACATGGCATAGAATTATACTCAATTACAAGTATGAAAATCTACTAAAAAATCTCCTGTTATCACAAAAATATACTCGAGTATTTGTAATTAGTTACTATCCACCCATGAACATGAAGAGCTGTCATTTACACTTGAACATGGAATACTTACTCTCCAGGAAGTCTATCTGGCAGCGCGGCACTCGGAGGCTGATGAAGTTGAATCCTCGGGTGGGTCTGGGCGGTTTAGATCCCGGCTCAGACCTGGGCCCAGACTTGGATCCGGGCTTCGGTTCAGACCTGGAGAGACCCTGAAGGACGCTGCTCTTCCCCGCGCCGTCCAAACCGAGAACCAGAACCTGCCGTCTCACACTCTCCTCCTCCTCCTGGAATAACAACAAACACAAGTATTTTTAATTAGATACAGACAGTAAACAGGTGACTTAAAGGTGCACTGTGTAACTTTTCTGGTGGAGTGTCTGTCAACTGCTTGTTTCTATGGAGATGTCATTGCTCTGCCTGAAAATTCCACGCTGGCCACATTTATAAGGTATTTTTAAATTCCAAATTAATTGCTCTGAATTAAATCATTTGGAATTAAAATATTCTCCTTCGAGTTCACATGGAAATAATAATTCCGAATTGAGGTTTACACGTTAAATTGTCTTTATTTAATTCCGCTCAACGTCTGGGGTTCGGGAAGGGTTCTCATTGGACAGGGACACGAACGTATTTACGTCGACCGGAAGAAAACCCACACTTCAGGTGCTACTGTCTTTTTTTTGTCTTTTCATTTTGTTGTTACGCCACGGACACAAACATGATCCAAACTTTTTTGGCAGTTGTTCTGATGATAATTAGGCAGCAGATGGAGAATTCTCTCATCACGCTTTCCGTCTGTGAGCTGAGGAGGAGAAGGGAAGAGTGTCGGAGAAGGGAGGAAGAAGACAAACTGAGTCAACGACCGCTCTACCTCAGCCCACTCTCACATCCCGCTCGCAAATCCAAAGAGACGTGGATGAAAGTCCGAAGTCAGGACTGGTAGAGGCGAATCATCCAGATCACATCAGAAGGGCGACTCAACGAGCATGCGCTGAACGACCGCAATTATTTTTAAGAAGAAAAGAAAAAATTTATTTGGCTTTAAAATCAGAATAAACCACCCACTTACTTTGGAATTAAGTTCAATTCTGAATAATCATTTTCATTAGGAATTAAGTGTTTACATGGCCTTTTTAAAGCGGAATACATGTTTACTTGGAATTAAAGCTCTTATGTAAATGTAGCAAGTATGACTTTAAATAGCTCGACCTTACATTATTCAATTACAGGTGGTTTAACACTTCAAAAATATCTAAAAAAAAACTCAGATCTGTGGGGGGTCGCCTCCCCACAGATCTGACCTGTAACTTGGTCTGGTTTGGTCTCCATGAAGATAGAAAGGTTTAATACCATAATGTGAAACATTCCTGGCAAAGCAATAACATCTCCATGAAGAAAAGCATTTGATGGAACCTCCACCAGAAAAGTTACACAATGCACCTTTCATTAACTACCTTTTCAGATACATACAGAAGATGATAAATACGAAAAAAAAAAAAAAAAAAAGAATAACAACATTAATAACTCACAATTTTACAGTATCCACCTTTTGTTTTAGAGACAATTAATGAAGAAAATGGTTGTTTTTTCGTTTTCTTATTTTTGATTTTATTTAAAAAAACGAATGAACAAATGACACACAGATTGTTAAAATGTTCTACTGTCAATAAATGTACTTTCTATTATCATTGTACTAAAAATTAAAAATCAATATTGACTTTTATAAATCAAAATGAACCAGCGACTCCAGTGTGTTTTCATTTGACCGTTTATTCTCAGTAAACAAACTCCACCAAAGTGCTTTTTCACCGACTCTCCGCTGTCACAAGCCTCATCGTTACAGACTGCTCATTAGCTCATGCTGTATTTGTATTTGCATTTGCATTCCTCTCATCTTTTTTAAGAAACTGCGGTCGCCCCATTACCGCCCGGGTCTGTGGAGGAAGGGTTTAAAGTCGGCGGTTTCGCTCTGTTTTCGGTTTTATTCACTTAAAAGGAGCTCTACCTCATTATACCTCCACAGAAGTAGTTCATTTGAAAGTTTTGACCATCGTTATTCCTCACTTTCTTAACATTTCCCAACATCATAATGGGAAAAGTAAAGTGTTATAAAAGTAACAAATTACCGTAATCCATTGCTTTTTGCTGTAACGTAGTAATGTTCAGCGTTACAGGGAAAAAACGATATTTTACTCGGTACAAATGTCAGTAATGCTTTTTTAATCTAGATTGAAGTGGTGGGTTTTTCGTTTTTCTTCGTACAAATTCACTAAAATCACGGCGATATCAGCGGTGAAACGGCAAAGTTACGGTTCTGAATGGCCCCAGAGGTGCGTAGACCATCAGGGGACCACGGGCGAGAACTAATCGTAGTTGAAACCCACTTTGTGGACACCTGCTCCATGGGCTCGAGGTTCTCTCCTAGTTTCCAAGTTTTAGTCCAAGATTAGTCCTGGTTTGGTTATGGTTTAGTGCTGGTTCCGCTCTTGTTCAGTCCTTTTTTAGTCCTGGTTTAGTCCTTGTTTAGACATGGTTTATTCCTGGTTCAGTTTTGGTTTGGTCCTGGTTTAGTCCTGGTTTAGTCCTTGGTTCAGTCCTCCTGGTTCAGTCCTCGTTTAGACCTGGTTTTGTCCTGGTTCAGTCCTGGTTTAGTCCTGGTTCAGTCCTGGTTTAGCCCTGGTTCAGTCCTCCTGGTTCAGTCCTTGTTTAGACCTGGTTCAGTTCTGGTTCAGTCCTGGTTTAGTCCTTGTTTAGACCTCCTGGTTTAGTCCTCAGTTCAGTCCTGGTTTAGCCCTCGTTTAGTCCCTGGTTCAGCCCTAGTTCAATCCTGTTTCAGCTCTGGTTCAGTCTTCCGGTCAGTCCTGGTTCAAACCTGGTTTAGTCCTGGTTTAGTCCTGGGTCCTGGTTCAGTCCTGGTTTAGTCCTGGTTTAGTTCTGGTTTAGTCCTGGTTCAGTCCAGTAATATTGTAATGTAACAAATGACTTTGAAATGACAGAAACAAGTAAAAATAAATAACACATTACAGTTTTGAAGTAACTTGCCCAACAGTGATAATCGTCATAATTATTCGCCGCGGTGAGTCTAAGAGCTTTTCACAACTTTTATTTTGTTTTTTACTCAATTTTGAAACATTACATAATAAAAAAAAACTAAACAAAAAACAAAAACACACCACGAAAAATCTCTTGGAGGGTCTGTCACTTGTTTGTTTCCATGGAGATGTTATCGCTTTGCCTGGAATGTTCCACAGTATGACTTTAAACACATCTATCTAGCGTTTATTCATTACGGGTGTTTATGTTGTGCAAAAATACAATACTTTCGGGGGAAAACAAACGACCCCTCTCATTAACTTGAATACAATTTAGGGTCAATAAACAGAACTCCTAGATGTATACACCAAATCAAAAGGACGACTCAATACATGACCATTTTGCCGCTCGTTGACCGTGAAAGATACGTACAAAAACTTAATTCAATAGCTGCATCACAAATCTTGGACTTCCGGTCATTGCCCAATTCATACTGGGAAGGATTTTCAGCAAAAGTGAGCATCAAACCGCCATGTTTGATTTCCCAGTGGGATGTGTCTATTGACAAAGTCGATCTTTTCAAGTCTTTTGAACCATATCGCTTTTGTTTCTGATTCTGATATTGTCATATTTTAGTTTTGGGATTCGGACATCATAATTGTGTGGTTGTTGGATTCTAACGGCGGAAAACGGCTCGAGAAATTTGTTTGTGAACTCCATAAATGCAAAAGTGAATCAGATGTGTGTGACTGCAAACCTCTGTTCAAACTGTTTCTCTTCTCAACGGAATTGAAAAATAGTGAAAGGTGAAGGGCAGGATTTATACCCAGGAAGGACGAAAAAGGAAACCTTTGACTGCCTAAATCATCCTGAGTTTGCAGTGAACATTTTGTATGTGGAGCTCCATCAAAGCAAAATCCCATTTGTTAAGCGAGAGGTACAGAAGACAAACAGACTGAGCTGCACTTTCTTGTTCTTGTGGTTTTACAGCAACATCAAGTCTTGGTCGCTTTACAGTGGAAGGTGTTTCTTGGTGAACAGGTGGTGCCTTTTGCTTTGGCGTTGACTTTTTTAATTCATAACGAAGGCTGAGCGAGGGATCAGGGTTTTGCTTGGGATGGCACTCCACATACAAAATGTTTGCTGCAAACTAGGGATAATTTCTTAGGCAATCAAAGATTTCCTTTTTGTAATGGGGCCCGGTGAAGCAGAAGTAAACAGCAAGGCCAAAAATTAAAGTTAATGCATCTGATATAAAAATGTATTCAACAGATACATATGTACTCTAGTTTATGAAACTGTTTACCTTTTTTCTGTACCATTTCTGGTTCTAAAGTTCCATATATTTTAAACAGACCATGTATGAAACATGGAACAAAAATATTTCCCAAATTTCAAAGACCTGCAAATCATGTAAAGAAATGGATGTATTTCATCATATCTTGTGTTATTCCATCTTTGAACTGTTGATGAAGGTACATGATTTAAAAAAAAAATTTAAATTAAAATGATAAAAATTTGCTTGGAAGGACTGACATATTTTATAGAAATAGTTTCCTTTCATTTTAAAGTAATATTAAAGTATTTGGAAGAAAAAAGCTGACAAATTATGTAAAATCATGCACCTTCTACTTGCACAATTTTTCCCTGCGTTACCATGACCTTTCTTAATAAAAAATCTCATTACTCAAAAAGTAAGAGGTTTTTCAACCTAATCTTGTACTAGGGGTGGGCGATATATCGATATTTTAAATATATCGAGAGTTTTTAAACTCGATATGAATTCTGACATATCGTATATATCGATATAATGCTTAGATTCAATTCTGATTTCGCCGCTTCACTTGTTTGTCTTCTCTCTTGTCGCCTCCGCGCGCCCCCACCTCCCTGATTTTGTTCGCTCGCGTCTCCTTCACTCGTCACTGTCGCCGTGAACGCTGAAAGTTGGTGCCAGTGAAAAACTTCAAGCACCACGGACCTTTTCCACCATTTCCAGACAAAACCACCAGCAGCACATCCTCATATTCCACCGAGTCGCGTCCTCGAACGAGCTGAGCTGCACGAGAAGTGCGCTGTTTATGCAAATGAGTCATGCACTTAAGTTTCGTTTCTGTAAAATGTAAACACACGTGCGCAAAACTGTATTAAACACATTATTATCTCAAACAGGCTGATGTGGCTCTAGAGTCGTTATGTTTTATATATTGTAAAGTTTAGCAATGTAAAGTTGATTTATGCAGAATATTTTAAT